ATATGAGAGTTTTTCTTCAGCAGTATTTTTAAAATAATTAAATTGGCTCATTTTATATGTCCTAGATTCTGTCCCATGATTATATAAAATGTGATCTCAAAAACAATGACAGGAGCATTAATGTTTTTTGATTATATTGTGCTTTCTGTACTTGTTTTCTTGGTCAGAAGTTTCACAGCAATCAACTCAAGTGAACTTAATAAAATTTAGCTATTTAGATAAAAGAGATTTCCCCAAAATGGCAAATTTTCTGCAAAATCAATGATCCTATAAACAAATATGCTAATCTGTAATTAAATATGCAGTCTCTTTTAATAAAATAAAAGTCTATACTATGTCTCATTACTACTTGCTTTTACATAATACTGGCAAAATTTTTAAATAAAATTTCATGTAATAATCACACATCAGTTGTTTTGAAAAAAATAAAGAGGTAAAAATATCTGTGACAACTATCTAGTGAAAAGTAGTACTTATCAGAATGTTATTATAAAACTAGCTACTCATTTCCAATTTTGTCATTATTTTAATTATTGAGTGACATTTACCTGTGCTTGAACTTTTCTTCCCATGTCATTTCATGAATGCTTCTCATCTTTCACGCTCAGCTCAAATGTCCCCTGTTCAAAAGGTCAACCCTCATCGCACCCTATTTCAAATGGGCTCCATCGTCACCCTGTCACACTCCATAAGACCCCTCAGAAACATTCCCTTGGTGACTTGTAAGCACTATTTGAAGTTACCTGCTTCATGTGTTCACTTGCGTATTGTCTGCCTTGCACAATTAGAACATGAGCTTAGAGGCACAGAATAGTACCCATCTTGGTTCCTACTCTATTTTTCATGCCCAGCAGAGTGACAGACTCACAGTAGGGGCATCTGCCCTGCTACTTACTGCTGCCTTCTAACTGAGAGTGGAAACAGACAAGAGTTGTGACTCACACATGTACCCACATAATCCTGTGATCCACTCCTGTGATTCACTCTACCGGTACTGTTCGTCTCAATGGACTGGGGAGCCAAACAACAAATATGTGGCCATCTAGAGGATGTTAAGAAAGAAGGACCTGCTAGGTCTCGAAGGTTAACTTTGCCTCAATCTAGTTTTCCATAGTTACCTGAAGAAGTTTATATAGTGGTGAAAGATAGCCCCATGACAATTGGGCCCTAGCAAAGCAAGTCCCAGCCCATATCCCGTCCTGCAGCTGCGGCAGGCTAGCAACACCAAGTACCCCCATCTCCTCCTTGCACCTGGAATTCGCCAGATAAGGCCACAAGGTCGGAGAAGGCCTAATGAGGTATTTTCTTGCCCTGGAGTTCACCTAATAGGGCCATAAGGCCAGAAAAGGCCTAATTGACTGCCCGTTCGGAGGGCCTGGTGACAGGTACAGAAGAGAGTGGCTGGTGCTGATGGCTTGTTGCAAAATGATTGGCTGCCTGCGTGCAGCATCTAATGTGATAATTCAAATGTATTGGGTGATTTGTGCGCGGGCTTTCTGAAATGCGTGGGAAGATGCCCTATAAAAAGTCGCCTTTGAAGAGACTTGGGGCTCTCAGTCACTGACAGTTTGCAGTCATGCTGTGTGCCCGAGCATGCTGGAATAAACCTCTTGCTTTTGCATGGACTTGGTCTCTCAGAGTTTTCCTTGACAGGTGAGGCTGTCCTGAGCTCGGACCCTAACAGTGGCACTTAATCTCCATTTGCCATAATCCCTTCGGTGTGTCTTTTTTTTTTTTTTTTAGAAAGTGGGAGGACTCCACATAAAAAAGTTGGATTCTAGAGGACATAGTCATTTCTGTGTATTATCATAATAATGTTATTCTAATACTGGAGCGACAGCACAACGGTAGGGCGTTCGCCTTACAAGCAGCCAACATGGCCGACCCGAGTTCGATTCCTCCCCCCCTCTCGGAGAGCCCGGCAAGCTACCGAGAGTATTCGATATGCCAGACACAGTAACAACAAAGTCTCCAATGGAGACGTTACTGGGCCCGCTCGAGCAAATCGACGATCAACGGGAGGGCCTTTACCTTTTACCTTTACCTAATACTATTAAATGATACCTGTAATGAACCAAGATGAAACAAGTCCCAGTCTACTTGTTTTCCAAGCTTAGTGATAAAAAAATCAGGCAGCACTGCACTGTCCTCCCACTGTTCATTGATTTGCTTGAGCGTGCACCAGTAATGTCTCCATTGTGAGACTTGTTGTTACTGTTTTTGGCAAATTGAAAATGCCACGGGGAGCTTGCAAGGCTCTGCCGTGCTCTCTGAGAGCTTGTCGGGCTCTCTGAGAGGGATGGAGGAATCGAACCTGGGTCGGCCGCATGCAAGGCAAACACCCTACTCACTGTGCTATGGCTCCAGCGGAAAAAAAAAATCAGGTAATATTTTCAATTTTTGGCCCTTGCCATTATCACTTGATAAAGCAATGCAGAGTTGAAGCAATAGTACAGACGGTAACATGCTTATTTTTTTCATGGTTGACTCCGGTTCAATCCCTCAAACCACATGTGATACCCAGCACTGCCAGGAGTGATTCCTGAACCCAGAGCCAGCAGTAAGCTTCAAGCACTGCCAGGTATGGCCCTTAAACTAACAAAAAAAAATGCAGGGGGAGGAAATCTTCCCTAAAACTTTTCTAACTAGACAATTTAGAGATTGTATGTAATATTTAGTATAATTTGTACAGTTATGACTCTAAATTAATAGTAAATAAAAAGAAATGTATCTCAATTAGTCAGATATTTTATTTACTTAATTACTTTTGATTTTGGAACACACCCGGTCGTGCTCAGAGTTTACTCCTGTTTCTGTGCTCAGGGCTCACTCCTGGCAGTGCTCAGGGGACCACATTGGGTGCTGAGGATCTAGCCTGGGTTGGGTCTCCCTGCTGTACTATCTCTCTGGATCCCAGATATTTATTTTTAAAGGGGTGCATACAGAAGTCAGGGATGTAGCTCTGACATAGAGCATAAGCGTCACAATGGTGAAGCCTTAAATTTAATCCTCAGCACCATAAAAATAATTATCTAGCTAAATGAGTTTGTCCAGAGATTTAAAAACAACAATCGTAGCAAACTTTCCATCACTCTCCTACCACAGCAAATAGTTGATTCTGCCTTTAATTACAAAAAAAAATTAGATTTATGAGCACACAGATAACTCAATTTCCTGGTCTCCCTTATAACTTCTAAACAAGTGATTGAATATAAAAAGCTGTAGCTGGATCAAAAGCTTAAAAGGATGGGGCATAGTCTCTCCTTGCTAAGGGCTGCAATTCCAAAATGGCCCGCGCAGGTCAGCATAACACAGGGGAGGGAAGGAGAGCAGAGAAAGCTTTTTAGAGTTCCCTCAGGCTTGGAGCCACCCACAAATCACCTGCAGGGTTCTGCAGAGATTTCCGCAGAAAATCACGTCCATCTGTTTTTCGGCCACTATTTTCACTCTTTTAAGACTCAACCTTACATTCTTACACAAACACTTTCCGTGATGACTTACATAATGCATCATCATTTTTGAAACATGAAGATCTCAGAAAGATAAAAACTGATGAGGTTAAAAAAAAAGGGTCTTCAAAATCACCCTGTCCTACCTTTTAGGGATGAGGACATTTGAATACAAAGTGAGCCTCAGGGAGTGAGGAGTTCCAGTTTAGGGTCCTGCATTTCAGTTCTTTGTTCTTTTCCTTTGTAGTCCAATTGGCAGAACTCCCTGGAAATGACTCTGAAGACTCAGGCTAGAAATTCTGGACAAGTGATTAACTGGGACCTGGGCCCTCATTACTCCCAAGACAACCCTGACCTACGGGGCTACTCACCCATTCATAAAAGGAAGAGAGGTGACAAGAAAGACATGACCTATCCTGGCAGAGGACAGGAGATCAGAATCATCTATGCCTTGAAGTCTCTTCTGTCCGAGCCTGGCCTTGCAAGCTCGTCTTTTCTCCAGCGAGGTTGATTCTATTGCTCTGGTTGCATGGGTCTGGGACCTTGAATCCCAGATAAGAGAGTGACTTTTGAACCCAGTCCCACTGAGTCTTAGGCCATCCACTTCCTTCTGATGCCTCCTGATGCCTCGTGTCTAGAATCTATAGATCATTCATTTGAAGTTCATCTTCCTAAACTTGTCTTCCCCCCACTGTTACCTGGAATTCAGTCTATTTTTTTAAATTTTATGTCATTGAATGTTTATTTATTTTTAATTTTTATAAGTGAAACACCATGAGGTAAATCTGTAAACTTACAATATTTTGCTTGGCTTTCAGTTATACAATGATCAAGTTACCCATCCCTCCACCAGTGTCCATTCTCTACCACCACTGATCCCAGTATCTTTCCTACCCCCACATCCCCCCATCCCACCCTGCCTCTGTGGCAGGGCATTCCCTTTTGTTTTCTCTCTCCTTTTGGGTACTGTGGTTTGCAAAAGAGGCATTGAGTAGCAATCATGTTCGGTTTATAGTCTACTTTCAGCACTGGCATTCAGTCTAACCCAAGAAAATGCCTTAAGCCAATGCTGATTATATATAGTATACATAATATGTATAATAATATAATATAATAATATATGTAACATATATAAGTGGGAAACTCAAAAGTTACTCACTCACACAACTCTGCTTTAAAAAATCATGAATATCCATTACACTGTCATACAATATGCTTCCACAAAACATTTTCTATAAAAATAAGCAATAAAGGTAACTTCAACTGTCAGGGTTAATAGCACAGAAAATAAATATCATTTCACTCTAGGTCTTTTATCCACAAGGTGTTCAGTGCGGCTCCCTTTGGACAAAGGGGCAAGTACAGAGGTGCCTCAGTACTCAGGGCATGAGGGAGATAGCGCCCAACTACAGAGATACAAGGTCCTTGCACTTAGCCTTGTTCTATCTTGTGAAGAATGCTCTTACATTACAAATCACTTGTGAGACTAAGAGTTCATATTTGAATTATGCAAAGTCTATATTTTGACCACAACTCTCATGCATTTCTTACCGTCTGCATTTTCATCAAACACTGGAGCTTTGCTTGAAGTATTGGCTCCCATGGCTGAGTCGGCACAAACCTGGGCCCTCCAGTTACATTATCCTGGCAGACACACTCATCTTCTCTCAAAAAAGGTCCTGAAACCTTAGCTAAATATCTACAGGAGAGAAAGAAATTATATTCTTACAGAAATGCACTCTGGGCCCCAGGAGTATGCACTGTCATCAAATTATTAACATCGTAAAATAGAATACTGAATAATCTGTACCACTGTAGCTGAATTTCTAGTGTTTGAAATTGATCATGTAAGAACACAGCACTGAGCTTCTGGGAGTATCTGCTGCTGGTCTCATCAGTAGTAGCTCCGGTCAGTTAGTCAAATTAGACCTGCTCAGAAGGAGAAAGGCAGGAGCTGGGAGTGGACTCAAATGATGGGAGCACAAGCTGGTCCTACAGAAGCTGTTTTTGTTTGATCCCCAGCACCACCAGGAGTGACCCCACCCCCACCCCAGCACCAAGACAGGACTTGATCCTTGTACTGCCAGGTATGGTCCCCAAACCAAAAGAGAGGAAAGCAAAACAAAAAAAAAGGAAAAGGAAAAGAAAAAAAATGAAGTATAAAACAATCTTAAAGTGAGTCAGTAATGCTTTTATGATAAAATGAAAATATTTTATTATTATTATTATAATTTTGGCTTTATTATCTCGCCCGCATGGCCAAGCCTGGCAAGCTACCCATGATGTATTCGATACACCAAACACAGTAACAAGAAGTCTGAGAATGGAGACGTTACTGGGCCCGCTTGAGCAAAATCGATGAACAACGGGAGGACAGTTTGTTTTATCAAGAAAATAAACTATTTTAAAAACTTTTTTGATGTGTGATGGGCTAGTTTGTTTTTCCATAATTACAAAAATATATGTCTGAACTGTGAAAGTGGTGAAAGTGGCCCAAGTGGCAGAACACCTGCCTGACATATGCAAAGCCCTGAGTCCAATCCCAACACTGCATGTTGTCACCCTCCCAGCACCACCAGGTATGGTGCCAGTGTACTTCTTGGACCTGAAGACTGAGCATCAAGCTGTCAGCTCAGGCTAACCACCACTCAGTCAAGCATCCCTAGGAGTGACCCTGCCCCCCAATACTGCTAGGTGTGGTCCTATTTAAATATATAGACACAATTTATCAGCCCCTACTCATATAATCTATTAATATATGTGTATACACACATATACATATAAGGATATGTATGTAAACATATATACATGTATACATGTATATGTAAGGGTACATATGTACACATATATACATATATATATATACAAAGCCTTAGGAGATACGAATGTGCATATGTACACCCTTAGGATATATGTGTGTGCATGTAGTATATATTGTGTACATATAGTCCCCTATCTCCTCTTCCTTCCCTATAAGGTATTCCTTGTGAAAAGAAAGAATTTCGTCTGTGTTAGGGCTTTCTTATACCTTCTGGTCGTTGAATTTTGCTGATTATGATTCTTTTGTTCCTTCCTAAGAACTTAGAGATGATAATGGTCCCTATCTCAAAGGCAAATTAAATGTGATTTAATGAGACAATAAGTAAAGTATTTTTGTGGCAGAAATGCTCAATAACAGTGAGCCCTTCCGAAGCTCAAATTAAATGCTGTCTGCAAAAGCCACAAAGTTCTTGCCAATATATATTCATGACTTTTTAAAAAAGGTAATCATAATGAATTTTACTTCCTCTGAAATTGGTAGCAAAGGGCAACAACCAGAAATGTGGGGTTCCAAAACTGAAACTTGATAGTCACACTAGATCAGGTGCTTAATCTCTCATCTTTAAAATGGGGGAAATGAGCTGGCGCGTTAGTATCACTGTATCAATGTATCACTGTCATCCCATTGTTCATTGATTTACTCAAGCAGGCACCAGTAACGTCCCCATTCTTCCCAGTCCTGAGATTTTAGCAGCCTCTCCTTACTTGTCTTTCCCAAAGCTGCCATATTGGAGGCTCTTTCAGGGTTAGGAGGATGAGACCTGTTATTGTTACTGTTTTTGGTATATCGAATATTCCATGGGGAGCTTTCCAGGCTCTGCCATGTGGGCAGGATACTCTCAGTAGCTTGTCGGGCTCTCCAAGATATTCATATCCGAGATATACATATTTCCCTCTATGATTTGTTGCCTACTGTCTGAACCTCATCAATTATGGTGTGGTAACTATGGAAAATGGGTAGGGAATTTCTTATGATGTGTCCAGGAATATGTTCACTCATATGTGAGGCTCGACCTAAAAGCAGCCTGGAGTGTGGCAGCGGTTGGGTAGTAGAGGTCGGCTGCCAGGGCTAGGTCTCTTGGGGCAGGGAGGGCTTTCACCTGCTCCCCTCTGGGGCGCCCTGAGTGAAAACAACCTGGCACAGAGTCTGATGGCATGATTATGGGGGCCTCATTTTATACTCCCTTCTGGGAGAAGCAGCCATGAGTTCTGGGAGGGTGGCCAGTGAGATTATCTGGAGCATTAGTACTGCAGGAAAGGCTCTTGCCTTGCCTGCAAACTGCCAACTGGAGTTCGATATCCAGGACCACACACATTCCCCCAAGCTCCACCAGGCAAGTCCTGAGCACTGCTGGTGTGGCTCCCAAACCAAAAGGCTTTGATGTTAGCATGCGGATAATCTTTGGCACATAACCTCCTGAGTGGCATCACTGCAGGACCTGGGCAGTACTGCAGCCTTGGGTCCTTGCACTGAACCACTTGGCATGGTTGGACAGAAATCACCAGAAGGATGATTCTCTCAGGGAGCCCCCAATGAAAATAATAAATAAAATGGAGGATACAAGTGAATTCACAGCTTGATTAGATGTCTGTGAGAATCAAGCAGAAGCAAAGGTGGGGCATGGGAGATAGCTCAAAGGCTGGAATGCATAATGGCATGCACAGGGCATCAGGACATCTTCATTCAGCATGGCCCCCGCCCCTGCCCAATGTCACCTGAAAGCAAATGAGTGAAAGTTTTGAGAGTACAAGTGCTAGCTCCTGGTGGGAATCTTAGGACCCTGGGAAACTCAGACCCCTTCTAAAATCGTTGCCCTCAGATCTAAAGGATTATTGCCAAGAGATAACATGACCCGGAAGTCAAATCTTTAGATCTATAAAAAAAAAGGATGAAGACCTAGATTTTATACAAAAATTATGTTTACAATTTAATTTTAACTACATGAACTGAACAAAAGTCACCCATGGGACAAATAGAGCTCTGAGACTATACTTAATAAGACAATAAATGTAAGGCAACTAGCATGATGTCCAGGATATAATAGGCAAAATAATAATAATAATAATGTTTCACCTGTGGCTGTTTTGAATAACGCTGTATTTTCTTATCATGTATTATTTTAAGTGTAACACCTGTTTATTGTTTTCTATTGGAATTACAGATTAGAGGCAGAATTCAATCAAGTGTTCCAAGTTAACCTGAACTTAGTGTAAGTTATTGAAAAGGAACTTGAGAAACCCCAAAGCAAGTTGAGAAGAAAATCTCATTTTCCCATTAGGAAAATTTAAGTAAAGTTTTCATTTAGAAGGCAGATTCATTAAGGAAATGCTACTTTTCATACTAAAAGCCAACTGCTGGCAAAGGGCCTTGTGGACCTAAAAAGATGCATTAAATAGAGAATAAATAAAGAGTCAGCAATTAGGAAGCAAGCAATTAGATGGTATGAGAAAAGGGCAGGGAGGGGGCAGGCAGCCACAGGTGGCTGGAGGAGGAAGCTCTGGGAGGTTACAGAGATCCAGAAAACAGAAAGGACTCAACAGTCTCTCCCAAGAGAGCAAAGAGCTTTGAACTCTTGCAGAAAGAGATGGAAATAGAATGTTAGTGTTTCATAGAAGTAGGAGCCAAATGAGAGCACTTAGGTGCTAGTGCTGCATTCAGAGTCTCCAATAAGAATTCATGTATGGGTTGAACCACATGTGACATTTGAGAAATGACACCAAAGACAACACTGACTGTCAGAAACCTCAATTGATAACTGCAAAATGGGGCTCCACTGTTTTTTTTTATTAGTGAAACGCCATGAGGTACAGTTGTAGACTTACATATTTTTGTGTTTGAGTACCAGTTATACAGTGATCAAGTACCCATCCCTTCACCAGTGCCAATTCTCCACCACCAATGAACCCAGTAGCCCTCCCACCCCCCAGTCCCCCCACCCCACCCTACCTCTATGGCAGGGCATTCCCTTTTGCTCTCTTTCCTTTAGGGTGTTGTGGTTTGCAATAGAAGTATTGAGTGATCATCATGTTCGGTCTACAGTCTACTTTCAGCGCACATCTCGCTTCCCGAGCGAGTCCTCCAAAGACCCTTTACTTGAAGTTCCCTTCTCTATCTGAGATGCGTTTTCCTCCAGCATGTGCTGCCAGCTTCCAAGCGTGGAGCAGACCTCCTGGTACTTATCTCAACTATTCTTGGGAGTTCCGGCACGCATGCCCCAGTTCCATCCACTTTTTTTTTTAAATTTTGTACATAAAATTCAATACCCTAAATTTTCACACCACACCTGATTCTGTCATTGTTAGACTTTTCTTCACACTTCAGGCATTTCTCAAGTAGCCCTTTGTCTTCCTTCATCATTAGACGTGCCAAGCACTGAGACTTGCACATTGTCAAATCAGAAAAGAGAAAGGGGAAGAAAGATGACCAGTTTGCCACATAGAGAGTTCCATTCTGACCTGCATTCAACTTTGTTCTCCAAAGACCCAGATTTTGCAGAGAAGAAAATTTGCAGACAGTGACCCCCTCAATGATCTATGCATAGTGGATGGAGGAGAGGGGCAGAGTCATCCCCTTGTGCCTCATACACCAATTAGTTTATAATTGCTTTTCTCTCTTATTCTCTATGTGAATAGCCAATTTTGAGGACTTTTATCATATCCAGAAAAAAAATCAGTTTTTCTATAACAGAAAAATGGAAACACATCCTTTTCATTCTGTTGAACAGAGCCCAGAAGAGCTATAGGACTTTCTTCTTCCAAATCCACAGTTTTAGTGACTTCCTGGAAATGTTAAATAAGTTTGATTCCCAGAGGTCAGGAGCACAGCCATGACACATGACAATGAAACTCTTCAGCAAGTAGACAAAGGACCAAACGTGATAGCCTCTCAGTATCTATATCTCAAACCATAATGCTCAAAAGTGGAGAGAGTATGCGAGAAATTTCTGCATAGAAGCAGAGGGAGGGTTGGGATGGAGGGGAGGATACTGGGGATATTGGTGGTGGAAAATGTGCACTGGTGGAGGGATGGGTGTTTGATCACTGTATGACTGAAACTCAAACATGAAAGTTTTTTAACTGTATCTCACGATGATTCAATAAAAAAAAGAAAGAAAGAAACTCTTCAGCATGGAAAATATAAGTCAGATTGGCAAGAGATGTAGAAAAGGGTTTGAAGGCACTTGCCTTGCTTGCAACCCAATCTGGGTTGGAATCCCTCCACGCCAAGCAATGCCAGGGATCACTCCTATACAGAAAGCGGGACAGCCCCTGAATATTACTGGGCATGACACGCAAACACTCAGAAACAGTAAGGAGAGGAAAGAGCAAACTGTTAAATAGGAGCAATGAGCAAACTGTTAAATAGGGACCCAGGAAGTGTTCAGATTCTGTCCTAGCCAATGATCAGATTACTAAGTCCGGAATCTTCTCCAATTCTACTTTGACCTTTGTTGAAAAGGAGGGGGGGTTCGTATGAAAAGCTGTCTCAACTAGCTGTCTCCCAGAGAAATTGGTCTCCAGAAATCAGAGAACACAGGGAGTGAAGCCCCAAAAAGCTGCAACTTTTCACACAATCATTTGGATTTCAGTGCAACAGGAAGCCCCCACATAATTTACCTTGTTTGCATTTGAAACACAGAACCTCTTCAATGGAGGAATATTTAGAAACATGGGAAGGAAGAAAACATGAAAAACAAACCCACATTTAAACCACCCACAATTAATAAGTGTATTCTCTCACTGGTGTCTCATCATTTATTCTTATTGAAAAGTACGGGGTCTACTACATTTTTATCTGTTAAAAACTATTTCATATTAACTCCCATGTCAAATTAATTTCCCTTTTATAGATTGGAAAGATAGCCATAATCAAGAATTTTCTACAATTTTACAACGTGACCGGTGCTTTAAAATAAGTCCCACAAAAGTCATCTGAGAGTAGGTCTATTTGCGTTACTTATCATTTTACTCTGCGAAGAAGGCATGCTGACCTCTGCAGCTCTGGTTTCTTCCTTTTAAAGCGCTGCATAGCAGTCCTTTCTATGAACACCACAAGTGGCAAATTATTTGCATAAAATATATTCAAATCATCCAGACTTGAGGTGCGGGTCAGGGGTGGAATCTAGAAGGAGCGAGGCTGTCGCTTCGTCAACCTTGCAGAGACGAAGCCAGCCAAACATCAAAGGCAGATTGTGCTTATTTCTAAAAAAGATTATTGCTTTCTTTAAAAAAAAAAAAATGCTGGATAAGCGAAACAAGTGGCAAACGCCGTCCTCACTTTTCTCCACCAAGCAAAAATCCTTGCGAGTCCGAGTCTGACCCACGGGCAGAGGCTGGTGGGGGGCAAGGTGCGATACCCCAGAATAGGGCAGGTTGGGATGGGGCCCCAGCCCTGCCCGTCTTGGGAAGGTTCTCCTCACCGCCCGCCTTTGTCTTCTTCCCGCTTCCCTTGTAACTTCCTAGCTTTGCAACAACAGTGCCCCTGACGTGCAGGCTTCGTGCAAAGAAAAGAGGATCTGGAGACCAGCACTCACCTTCGCGCCTTTCTGGAAGCTCAGCCCTGTGCTTGCCCCCGGGATGCATGCAGGGGCCAGTCGAGAAGCGGCGGGGAGCAGTGGGCCGGGAGCTCTGGCCCAGCCGGGGCGCGGGGCGGTGCGCACGGGGCAGGCGCACCTGCGGCCGCCCAGGACTCGGAGCGCCGCCCCAGCGCGCAGATGCTCCCGGAGGGGGAGCCCGGGGCCCGGGCGGGGTGCGGGCGAGCAGCTCCTCCCGGGTGCGCCTCGCCGGCTGGTCGCCCAGGGTCGGGGCGTCGCCAGGGGCGGGAGCGGCTGCCAGGCGGCGGCGGGGATCCCGCGGCGCCTTGGCACCCGCTGGAGCCTCCGGGAAGCGCAGCGCTCCCCAACTTCCCGGACCAAGGCCCGGATCCCCTGAAGTGACCCCACTTCCCGCTCCCCAGACGCCCGGCCGTGCGGCGGAGCTCGGGTGCGAGCCGGGCTTCTTTTGCCAGACTCTCCTTCTCCGGGCGCTGGGTTCGATTCGAGAGGGTGGTGCTGGGCACAGGGCTGGCAGGACTCCGGGGAAGGAAAAAAATACTTGCCCAATAGCCTCCCGATGAACGCGCTGAGCTTCCTAGTCCCAGAGTTCTAGAAAGGTCCCAGCACCGGTTTTGTGCACGCAATTCTGTCACCCCCAACACCCCAGGAGGGGACTTGGACTGGGGGCGGCCGTGAAGGCCAGATGGCGGGAGTTGTTGCTGTTCTGCAGGGCACCTCCCAGGAAGACCTTTCGTAGGGATACGGGAGCCCAGGGCGCACGCCAGCAGAGCCTGTGGCGCTCACCCAAAGGGCGAGTCTGAGCATCCCGGGAAGCAAGAGGGGAAGAAGCGCAGAGCGGGTCTGCCGGCGAGGGTGGGGGTGGGGGTGCCGAGGATAGCTTCTAATTTCCTGGTGGGATGGGACGACAGCTCAGCGTCGCCAGCTGTCTAGATTTTAAAGGAGAAGCTAGGAAGTCCTGTGTGAAATCGCCCATCATTTAAACATTGGCAAGTAAACTGCGCGGTCCAACAAAGGCATCTGCGGCTGACATGTCCTTTCCAGACTCCCACTTGCCCTCTCAGGAAGCGCAGTCTCCCTGTTCATCACGTCTAGAATCAGCTCCTAGACTGCGGTGGGATGCATCGAAAATATATGCTGATGTTGCTGAAGACCGACATCAGTGGTCACGTCCTAGTCAGCTGCACACTGCTTCATTAAATTAATTGATTAAACTCTCTCTCTCTCTCTCTCTTTCTCTCTCTCTCTCTCTCTCTCTCTCTCTCTCTCTCTCTCTCTCTCTCTCTCTCTGCTTTGACTTTTTGGTGCTCAAGGGTTACTCCTGGCTCCACATCTGCACTAAGAAATCACTCCTGGCAGTGGTCAGGGGACCACATGGGACGTTAAGGATCCAACCTGGGCCTGCCTGGTGCAAGGCAAGCACTCCACCCGCTGTGTTATCTCTTGAGCCTCAACTTTTCTGATTCCTTCCTTCCTTCCTCCCTCCCTCCCTCCCTCCCTCTCTCCCTCCCTTCTCTCTCTCTCTCTTTCTTTCTTTCTTTCTTTCTTTCTTTCTTTCTTTCTTTCTTTCTTTCTTTCGTAACTCTTCCCAAACTAGGACTTAGCCTCTTTCCCTTTTCTTTTCTTTTTTCACTTCTTCCTTCTTCTTTCTTCTTCTTCTTCTTCTTCTTCTTCTTCTTCTTCTTCTTCTTCTTCTTCTTCTTCTTCTTCTTCTTCTTTTCCTCCTCCTCCTCCTCCTCCTTCTCTCCTTCTCCTTCTCCTCCTCCTCCTTCTTCTTTCCTTCTCCTTCTCTGTCTCCTTTCCTTCTCCTCCTTTCCTTCTCTTCCTTCTTTTTTCCTCCTCTTCTTCCTCCCCCTCTTTCTCTTCCTTCTCCTTCTCCCCTCCTCAATAGCTACCAGTGCTGGAGGAAATCGGGGTGGAGTGCTCCCAACTTGGAGTGCTCCAGATCAATCACAGTACTGAGTATGCTTTTCCAAGGTAGAAGTCTCAGTTCCAGCTCACTGAATCCCTCCTGCTACCTGCCCCTTCCCTTCCCTCTTTCGCTTGTCTCAGCCATGGGGTACTGTCTATGCTAGGAATAGAAAACTTGTAACAGCCTTGAACTTCAATTCACCCACCACTCTCCTTTTAGATTTGTAATCCAGAGGAGGACGGGATTTCCCCAAAGTCACACTGTGAGTAGGTGGTAGAGACTGAGGCTAACTCTTTATAAGAAACATATCCAGCAGAGGATCTGATGCCATAATCATGTAGTGTGGAATTTGGGTCAAGTTTCAGAAGAGGGTAACCAGGTTCAAAATAATAATAATCATAATAATAATAATAATAATCGAATTTTAATGAAATTAATTTTGAGAGAGATGGATGAGGGGGGGATTACACCTGCCACTGCTGAGAGTTTACTCCTGTCTCTGTGCTCAAGGATCTCTCTTTACGTCCTACTCTATCTCTTCAACCCAAGAATGTTTTTTAAAGACAAAATCAAGAACTTTGATAAAAACAGAAAACTTTTGCATAGCATCTGGACATTTGCAGAACATTTTGACTGTCTTCAAGGCACTGGATATGCATTAGGAATTTGGTGGACCTATATAATTATTTCCTCTGCCCTCAACAGATAATGAAATCCCAATAATATTCTTTTTTTTCCTCTGGGAAAACTGAAATATTTTTTTAAAAAAGAAACAGAAGCCAAGGTTTAAATCTCTGGAAACTTCTTCATTTTAGTATACTGGTTAGGAGAAAGGCCTTGGGCTCAGCCAGACTTCATAGCAAAAGCTGCTTTAGCTTAATAGTTCTGAAATGTCGACTATGTCACGGCCCTAAATTTAGTTTTCTGATTTCAGTAAAGGGGTCATTTCTATCAGTGATGATTGATAGAGGATTGCATGAAATAATGTGCATGATAACGCACTTAGCCTGATGCCAGGAATACAGGAAACTCCTCAGCTTATCAAGGTTAAAGGCTGTCAGGTTCTGTCCCAATATTTTCAGATCAGTTCAAAAGATCTTTCTTCCTCGGGTACAGTAGCTTTTATTGAAAGTACAATTACCAATCAGTCCTAATGCCATGTAAAGATTTGGGATACCCTAGCTTCTGTGACCCCCAAAAGTGATTCTTATTACTTTAACACATGCATCTTAGCAAATGCCTAATGTCTTTCAAAGTTAAATGTGTTTTTATCTTTTGAGGCTCAGAGAGTTTGATTTGGTGGTTAAACACGGAGGTGCTTGGGTTTATTACTGGTTGGCTGAGTGGAAGGGCAGTGCCTTAAACCTGTATTATCTTTCTGGCCCCATTTTAATCTTTAATTAATGTCATTGTACTCTCTGGTCAATATTCCTATCTTAAACAAAGTTCCTATTTTAAAAAATCTTGAAGAAACTGGCGGGGGGCAAGGGGGAGATTGTTAGAGTTACTTAGGAAATATCAAATTAGGCTTGATATTTCAGACAATCTCTAGAGCCCCCCAGTGGAGAACAGAATAAAGTGGAACATGAACCAGAGGAAGTCTCATCCAGATAGAAATTCACAATTTATCCTTTATTAGTTTAGTAAATGTTGATTCTTAGCTTGTCTTATAAGGGTTTTTATACTTTTTCCAGTAATTAATTAACACTTCATTTATATAGACCATTCTATCTACCCAGGTGATTTTTTTTACATCTATAAAGACGCTTATTACAATCTTTTATTTAATAATACAGACTCATAAATGTATGGACATGGAGAGTATCGTGTTGAGTGAAATGAGTCAGAAGGAGAGGGACAAATATAGAATGACTGCATTCATTTGTGGTATATAAAATTGTATGGTAGAAGACTAATATCCACTGTCAGAAAATAGGGGCTAGGAGGATTAGTCAATGGTTGGCATTGACCACAAGTGTATAAAGGGTAGGCAAGATAGAGAAGGGACCAGTATAATAATAATAATAGTTGGAAATGATCACGCTGGGCAAAGAACTGAGTGTTAAAAGTAGGTAAAGGAATATATATGCTAACCTATCAGTATCTGTATTACAAACCATAATACAGAGAGAGAGAGAGGAAGAGAGAAGGAGAGAGAGAGACAGAGACAGAGAAAGAGAGAAAGAGAGAGAAAGAAGAGAATTGCCTGCTATAGAGACAGGCTTGGGGAGGGGTATGTGGGGCGGAAGTAATGGGAGGGAAACTGGGGACACTGGCACTGGGAAAAGTACACTGGTGGAGGGATGGGTATTGGAACACTGCATGACTGAAATCTAATCATGAAAGCTTTGTAAGAGTCTATCTCACTGTGATTCAGTTAAAAAATCTTAAAAAATAATGCAGACTCAGAAATTATCTATAATATTTAAAACATAAAAGCAATAGTCTCACTTTAGTAAGAAATACACTTTCACAATTGTATAGGGCTATTCAGATTTTCCTTTAATTTTTAAAATTTTCCTCTCCTCACAAAAGTGTATATTTGTAGGATTTATTTCCTGCCTGCCTGTAAATTTTAAGATGTGTTAGCAGAATTACTCACTCTGAATTTTTAAAATTTATATGTCTATTATAAAAATTGTTTTTGTTTGAAAAAAATTGTAAAGCTTATCATTGATTTAAGATCTTGTGGAATTTCAGGAGTCTTGCTTTATTCACCATATGTGTGCAGGTGTCATCCCCTCCACCATAAAAAAAGAATTCCTGATATGTGGAATATAAGGAAATATAGTTAGGCAAACAACAAACGACTAAATTCATCCACTGGAGATTTCGTCTACAGAACTAAGCTTACCTGGGAGAAGGGGTGGCTAGGAAGGGCGCTGGGGGCACTGATGGAGTGAAGCTAGCACTCTAGTGATGGGTGTGGTGTTGGAACAATGCAAGCATAAAAAGTATTAATAATACTCTACCTCAATAAGAATAGTGGAGGATTCAAAAGAAAACAAAAACAAAGAAAACAGAAGTATGAATGTTTCTAGCACAGACATTCATACCACACAAATCCAATCATACCGATGGCTTGCAGCTGGTTTCACTGCATTTAAAATATTATTCTTTGCTGTTCCAGAGGTCTATGACAAAGCCCATCTCCTGCCAATTTTTAGCTTCCTCTTGAATCAC